CTATCAGTTTTCTATGATTAAAACAAGTATGGAGACTAAACAAAAAAAGCATTTATGTGGAAAGTTTGGTACAGGAACACTACTGCCCAAAAGAAAATTAGCTATTTGCAGAATATTCTGTGGACTGTCAAGGTAACATTTCTGAGAAGGTTTACATCCTAAAACAGCATTTCAGACAAAAAACATGATACCTTTTATCAGATGTGGCTCCCACAGTCGTACGATCTGGGTCTGCGCGACGCTTCCACAAATTGCCATTAGCTACTGGAACCATGACTTACTGTAGAAGTCTGATGGAAAATCCTAAAGAACAATCTTTAGGATCTTAAGCTTAAACATGCTTGGCTTGGAAAGAGGGAAGTGATCCTAAGAACCCCAGCACATTGTGTAAACCTAAAGGCTTATACCACAAACAAAATTAGTAAAACTTTTCATTCATAACCGGTAAAGAGACCATTTATTAATGATTAACAGATATATCTTAGTAGTATTTGATAATTTATAAACTCAATCTAAACCATTTATAAAAGTTAAATAGATCATATTGTCCTGCCATGTTAGTTTAGCCCTAACACTAACATCAGTGGACTTAATGTAAACCTTGCCTTTATTTTTAATTTAACCTTTTACTTAATGGTCTATTTATCTTTAATAAATGGTTTAGATGCAGTTTATAAATGAATCAAACTTTAACAAACAATCTGTAAATCATTAATAAATGATTACCATTTATAAATGATGACTTGGTCGTTGTAAACCACAAAATGTAGGTTTTTGAGTGGCCTAGTCAAAGTCTAGTCCAATTTAGATTTGGTGGCATGACCTTACCATTCATGCAATCTACTTCTACAATTCAATTCATTTCTAGAAATGCAATTATTTGTGGTTGGAAGATATGGAAGAAAAGTTTTGCAAAACACTGACCATAATGAAGCAGGATTCATAAACTCTGCTTCTTTACGTGTCGGTTGTACATTTATTCTGCATAGATCATTCACTCTTTTATATCTAACATGCTGTATGTTGCATGCTTACCTGGCAGATCAGGGTAGAAGGATCAATGAGATCACTCTAACCCCCATACCACTGTGGTCGATACATAAAACCCACTTAGTCAAGAAGACGGTTTCCTAAGCCTGGCTTGAAAACCCTTTTTTTATGGTCTGCTTTTATGGCTCTAAACAAGGAAGTTGGGAAGCCAAAGAGCAGAGTTGACAAGTAGGTATGAAGTTGGAGCCGGTGATTACATTACAACAATCAAACCATAGGACTCCTATAACTCCACTGCCAACTTTGTAAAGGTAATAGAACATCATGTTGAGACATGGTCTGTTTGATTAGTTTATGTGCGCTGGATCAAAGGTGCTTTAAAGGGGGACCGTATCTCAGAACTTAAGTACTTCTCACAAAACACTTGCGAGCCAGGTCTGAGAAAAGTTTTTCCTATATTGGTGTGAATTAGGTAAGAAGTAAGGTGACATGAAGGTTTGAAGTCAACCTGCTGCTTTAAAGCTTCTGAATTACCAAAGGAGACACTTACAGAGACAAGCTGGTAGGTAGGTGTGAAATGGCTGGGTAACAGTGGTACTCTGCTCTAACCAGTGAAGTTGCTGAAAATTATTGTTTCAGATGCCTGTGGATGCATTGAAAACAAGCATTGTCAAAGGACAAACCAAAAAAAAAAAAATGCATAAAATATTTACTAGTTGCATTTTAACTTGAAACAAATTTGCCTTTAAAGATTCCTATTATTTTTCTTGCAACTTAAATTTATTTTTACACTAAATGTAAGTCGCTGGTTTAATGCTACATTATTTCAGAATTTTAGAGGGCAAGGAGGGTAGAAGGCATCATCACTAAGAGCAGCGTAAAAAAAATGAAGATCAATTTACAGGTTTTGTGTGAGAATGTGGGTTTTAAATGATCTTGAGTCATGTTGCGACCCACATGAAAGTTTAAGCTTCTATAGCCAAACTCCAAAATTAGCTCTTTACCATGTTCACGAAGCAGAAAATGTCAACTGATTTACTGATAAAATGATTTAACAGGTGAATTAATGATTTAAAACTACCTTCTATAATTATGCTTTTATTGTGAGAAAGAATGCTCCAACTTAATATCTTATGTACATAATTTGACCAAGGAATTCCCCATCTGCCACCTCTATCCTAACGATTTGACCTGTATAAGGAGAGGAGAGATGGCACTTAGGCACACCTCCCTACATAGAAAGCCTGTTTTAGCTCCTGTCCGGCTCTGCTCTGGGCTCCTTCACGTGGGGCCCTGGATGACTTGGGAACAAATCAATCTAACAAATAATTCACCGGCTGCGGCACGCCCGGCTGAACTGATGGCAGAGGAAGTGGCAAAATGAATTAAAGTTTCAAAGGAAACTGTCACTTTGTGTTACAGAAACCGACTAAACAGGTTTATGCTTTTGCCTCCGAGAGTTGGGAAAGTGCTGAGAGCAAATTCACAAGTACTTGCTCTGGCAAGGGAAGTAAAAGCATTAGGAGCAAGCCCAGTGACAGATAGGGAAAGGCAAAATGAAAGAAAGAATGACAGAGTGAGATGGGGCGATTCTACTTCTTGCCTCGGTTCCTCCTTAGCCCAGTTTTTAATGTGAACTGAATAAGAAGGAATACGAGCTCAGAAAATTCACAAGAGGCCATCAGCAGTGATCCATGGCATAGCCTGAGGATCCTACAGCTTCTGATGCAGCAAAGTTAGGCATATAAACAGTTTGAATTGTACTATCCAGTGACAGATCCTCAAAGAATTAATCCAGTTATTTTAACAACTCCGGTTTGGCATATTGAATCTATGCATGGAAGACAGTCAGGTCTATTTCTGCAGGCGGTTATGCTAAAAAGTGTGCCAGATTCCATCTAATCCAGGTCTGTAAACACGTCTCACTGAAAGCACCGCCGCTCTGCAGTAGCTGCACGCAATAATGGCTGCAGCATGTTAACTTGTATCCATTTTTCAGCTTCTGTGGAGGGGATCGTATCAACATGCAACAGATGAATCATCTGATTTAAAGAGGTTGTTTATGTCAGTGGTTTGGAGTTTCTGCACCCGAGGCAAACCAGGGATGCCAGGCAACTAGCAACTGCCTCTACTAATAATGACAAACAGCCTTTGATGGAGTCAGTTATAAGGGAAAGTAGGGCCAGGGGTGCATAAGCATACAATATAGTGAAAAAAAAACACATTTTTAATAATAGAATAAATACTGCAATTAAGCTCACAATCGTTAATATATGTAAAAATGTTAGAGATGAAATACACAGTGCTTTGCTAAAGTTTAAGTAGTTGTAGAACTTTGCTTTCTTTCATCCTACCTCAACAAGTTCAAATGCTTTTATTAAACTGTTACGGTACACAAAAACTCAAAGCATACTATTTTGAAGGGAAGGAAGAGTGATATAAGGTTTTAAAATAAAAATAACTTATAAATGTCGCTTTTGGTTACAAATATCACTGTATTTATTATGACTGCAAGTTGGTTGGGGAACAAAAGCTTTTCACATTTATAATTTTTTTTCTTCAATTTTTGTATTTTTTATTTGGAAGTAGCGCAACTCAAATTGGAATATTTTATGTCTACCTGCAAATTCTCGCTTGGACTGAAGTCAGGACTTTGATTTGGCCACTTAAACTAATGAATGTGCTTTAATATGATCCATTAAATTGTACCACTAGATGTATGTTTATGCCCCAAATGTAAGTCTTTTCATGTTTTTTTTTCTTCCATGACTGGTTTATATTTAGCTCAATTTTCCAAATTCGAAATTTACATATACATGCTTTAAAGAATCATCCTCCTGGCGTAATGGTACCACTATATCTATTGCTGTTGGAAACAGGATTTATACACGTGGCCATAAGGTTAACATTTGAACAGATCTTCTTTTTTAATATTGTTTACTCCACATGGTAACAAACTTTAGATGAAAATTCTTCTACCATTCAAATACACAATTTTGTGGTAAGAATTTAGGTTAAAATCTTAAAAAATCTTATTATAAACAGTAAAATTAAAAAGAAATGAATTACTTAATTTGAGATTTTTTTCTATGAAAGTAAAAGTAAATTACTTTCCCCTAGGTTTGTTTCACAGATCACTGTCTTTATATTCACTGCCTATTTAGTCCATCGGGATTATTGATGAAATCAACATTTCACCAAATACAGGGTTCTGAAGTCCTATGTTTTCACCCTTCTTATAGTACAAATAGAATATTTGGATTAATGGATTAAACACTAAACCCAAACTCAAACTATCTGCCATGTGTTCCAATGGTCCAGGTGCTGCAGCTACTTAGAAATTTATGCTTTTTCAGTCAATGAACTGGGATATGACTATCTGAAGGCTTCTCAGGTCGAAATATCCCCTTTCATCCTTTGTGGCTAACTTGCAAAGCTCCAAGGACAACAAAGCGTTGGAGAAAACCGATCTGCAAGAGGTTTGGTAATCCAAAGTTGACTAGTTTCTTTTGAAGTTATCTGCTCCTTTGTTTGGGTTATTGAGGAGCAACAGTAATGTGGTTTGGAAGGACTGCTGGTGACTGGAGATAACCTGACCACTGGAAGGGATCTTGCATTGATGAAAATGAAAATGATTTCTTTCTAAAGTTTTTTTGTTTAAACCTTTGAAGAATATTATTACATTAACTGTTGTTTGGGACCTTTTGTATCTCAATGGCAGATAATCTTCCAGTAAGCCTGTGCTTTAAAGGTACTTGATTGAAGTGTGTTTGAGGAGAAAACCACAAGCCATTTGAAATCCAAATTTTTACCTGGTAGCTGTGGGTTAAACGTCTAATTCCAAAGCCTACAACTGATTCATCTTTTATTTAGACAGTACCAGTGATTAATTGCAACTGAAAACGTTAAGTTTTGATTTAGCCACTTATGAGGTTTTTTTTTTTTAATAAGTTGCAAATAGACACTGAAAAATAAAGCCAGAAACATCAGAAGGATTCAGTAAAACTGACCTCTTTTAAAGACAATGCTGTCATAGGGTATTTTGTTTTTGGTTTCCAGACTCGAGCAGTTCCACCGGTGCCCTCTGAACTGGTGCTGGCACTCATGGATGGCAATCTGGATTCCCTGGATTGCTGAAGCCGTCACATCTGGATTGCGCATGCACACCTCCAGCTGGCGTCTCGTCAGCCCGGGTAGTGTCAGACAGACCGTGTTGGCATTCAGGATGGGTTCAATGTTGGGTAGTTTCAGACCTAAGATCTCATTGGAATCCACCCTATGAGAAGCACAAAGTTGGTGGTTATTAGTGGGGTGGATCTGTTGCTCAAAACTTTTGCTTCTTCTCTGCTTGACTTTGTTAGTCACTAAAAGTCTAATCAAGACCCCTTAAATGTGACCTTAATATAAAGTTCCATCAGTAACAAAAAGATGTCCTAAACGTACTGTTTTATTGCTGGGTCGTATAAAGTTTAAAGACAATTTACAAATGGTTTAAGTTAACAGTTAAAAAAAAACCAGACACAGATATGTCATTTTTTAGCACTATTAAATCTGTAAAAAAAAAAAAAAAAAAAAAGTGTTTTTAAGAACGCTTGTTTTAAGAAGCTTAATTTATTTATTTAAGAGAAAATAGTCTGGGGGAAAAAATGAGACAGTTTTTGGAAATGCTTGTAATATAGTTTTAATTGCTTCCTAATATTGCAAACTCTGTATCATAAGGGACGAGTTTAAAGTACCGCTTTAATAACCAGTGGAAAACCCCCGTCATGTTGCTTCATAAATCTGCTCTTGAAAATATAACTTGACAAACACTTTCCCATTAACTGCAAAAGTTATTATCAGTTCAGAGAAGTTTTTGTTGGAGATCAATCGTGCGAACCAGCATTCAGCCAACGGCACTTTTGGAGACCTTTCCAACTTCACAAAGAAGCAGGAAAAGCAGCAAGAACTAAACGTTTGAGACCTGAAAGATCTTAGGGATGTACTGTATTTCCTTTCATCACCATTACGCTTAAATCACTGGCTGTGTGTGCTTCTGCTTGTCTCAGTCTCAAATACATGGAGTCACAAGCATGTGTAGCTCGTGGCAAACACAAACCAGCAACTGCTCAAGCACACCTTAAAATGCAAATACTCTGGAGTAAGGGAGAGTGCACAGTTGGTTTTACGCACTAAGCCACTTTGCACGCCACTTCCATGCAGTTCCAGGTATAACTACCACATTCATTTATTTTTACTCTCATGTTATCTTAGTAGGAATTGCATAGCTTTGCAAGTTTCTGCTTTAATGTCAGCACAAAGTGTGGAACAACTATTTCCAAACAATATAATTGCACTAACAGGTTTAAATCACTTATTTATTAGGCTACTTGCGCTTAGATTGTGCACCCTCTAATTGCATTAATAAAAAAATAATGAAATGAAAAAAAGAGAAAAACTTTTGTTAACTTATAACACACCATACTGAACACCAGTAATATTAAAATAAAATCTATATTTTTTTGTAAATTCAACTTACCTTTTATCCAGAAGACAAATAACCACCAAGACGCATGTGAGTTTGACGACTGATTGTTCCATGTTTGCGCTCATAAAAAAAAAGAAAAAAGTTTTTTTTTGTTTTAACTTTTTAATGAAGTTTCAAAAATTATAAGAAATTATAAGAAATTTCTTGAAACAATGTTTTAAGTATAGGGATCAATAAAACAAATCACTTCCGTCTAAAGTTGGACGCTGGATTTGACAGCTCCGGGTCCTGCGTCCAGATGTGCCAGCCTCATTCAACAGAAAAGTTTCATCAAGCTCTAAAGTCACAGGCGGTCAGAGAGAGCTGGTTCCTACAAGTTTGGGGAAAAGTCAGTTCTTTCGCTCTCGGATACATCCGCGCTCATGCCGGTGTCCTTGCCAACGAGGAGTTTCATTTAGAGAACATCCGAGTTAAGACAGTCGGCTTCTTACCTATAGGCTTCACTAAATGAAGTCCGCTTGAGTAGTGATGTTTAGTCCTCTAAACTCCTGCTCTTAGCGCTCTGCCAGCCCACTTCGTTGCGTCACTAAGGGAATAGGAGAGCGTCGAGGGAGGTCAAGTGCCTCGTTAAGGCAAGATAGAGATCCTCCAAGATAAGGACACCAGAAACACTTAGCCTGCGCCCTCTGTGAAGCAGAGCAGTTAGATATTCACTGGAGGGGCGATGATGCTGAGGATGATAAAGCAAAGTGCGCAAATGAAAACTTAAGTGAAGTGGTTAGAAATTTCTCTTTTGGCAAAAATAAAGTTCATCACAAGCAGAGGAGATATAATACTCAAAGCTGCCTGCAGGTTTCTGGCTTCTTAAGTTATGTAAAGTTAAAAATACTGTCAAGACACACAAATAAATAAAATTAAACATTTAAACAAAGACAAGAACTGATTTCCTTGTATTTGTATTACCAAATGGTAAGCCTAGAATAAACTTTTTTTCAATAAAGGAACTTTAGTAATCTGATATTTGATTAATATGAACTCTAAATCGCGAGGGACCTTTACATTTTTGGCGTGTTCACAGAAAGGTACACAGTTCCTGAAATTATAATTTTTTTCTACAGTGAGGTGATGAAGCAGACTGAAACTGTTTTATCACTATCTCCCTTTTATCTCCTCTTTCTTTCATCTTGTCTCCTTTGTTTCTCTTTTTCCTTTACTGTTCTACTTACATTGCAGTGTCCATATAATCTGTAAAACTCCCTGCATAATTATAATAAAGCAATTTATATGCATAAAACAAGCGGAACACTATGGCGATAGCCTTACTGCTTCTCTTGTGAAAATAAAAACTGTTGGGCTCTTTTTGGCATCAAGACAATTATTCTTATTGCCACATTGCCAGACTGGACACTACAAAAAAAAAAAAAAAAAAAGAAAAAAAAGAAATACAATGATGTTTATTACTACTTAGAAACTGATACATGTTATATTATCTGAATTTTTAATGGAATGTAACAAAGAAAATTCTTTCAGTATTTCATTTTTACCTCTGGTTTGACGTTTTTTACCGTTTGTTTATTGTTTTGGTGTCTCGTCATAAGCCAGCCCATCACCTGACACACTGACAGCATCCTGCTTTGAATAGAATAGAATAGAATAGAATAGAATTAAATAGAGTAGAATAGAAAACTCCTTTATTGTCCCACAATGGTGAAATTGTGGTGTTACAGCAGCTAAAGATTACAGCAAAAGTGTTCAGGCAAATGTGGACCTTAAAAAGTCTATAAAAAGGGCAGAATAAGTGACAGAGTAAAAAAAAAAAAAATTAACACACTGTACAGTACAGTGTTTTTACAATATAAATACCGTGCATCTGGAGACTAAATAATCAATATGCTGCGGTGGACATTTTTAGAGTAATGGATATTACTGTAACACAACAAGAAAGATAGACAACAGTTGTTTAAGTCTAATTCTAAAATTTAAATGTTCTATCACAGTTTTCATCTTAAAGGAAATTTTTGATCACCTGTTCTGGGTTGAAGAGCTCTGGTCAAGAACTGCACATAGGAAACAATAGACTACATTTACCCATCTGTTTAGTTTTTACTTTTTGTTATATTTTCCTTCATATAAGTGATATAGGCTTGGATTACTTCATCTGGTCAAAAATATCCAACTGGTCAGAAGCCTAGATGTTCAACAAAACAGATTCATAATTTGGACTCAGTTTAGATAGATATGATTTCATATAGAAAAAAATGTAAGCCTTAAAGCTCTAAAGTTCTACAATTCAGATACAAAAAGTCACAAACAAAATTTAATGTAATAATTCTTTGGTGGAATATTACTGTTAAGTGCTGTTCATCTACTTTTACAAGACACAGTTAAGGGGGAGTGGCTGCCTAATGGTTAGAGCATTGAGCTTGGTGGCTGGAGGTTCTGAGTTCAAGCTCCACTCCCACTGGACTGCCACTCTGGCTCCCTGAACAAGTCCGTTAACCCCCACACTGCTCCCTGGGTGCTGCACAATGACAGCCCACTGCTCCCCAAGGGATGGATTAAATGCAGAGGGTGCATTCCGTTGCTTTGTACTTGTGACAATGTAATGCCAATAAAGTTGAATTATATTCTTTATAAATGTAAAAATATGTGTTCATAACATTTTGGTAGAAAATATCCTAGACTTTACTCAGCCTATTCAGTTTAAACAATAGCTTATGTCACTGGAACTCGTTACACACAGATAGATTTAATTAAATTCATCATTTTATGGGTGTCTTTAGCTATGGCCCACAAAATAACACACAAAGCAAAGCTGTTCAGCTGACAGTTACTGATATCCTAAATAGGGATGTTGTGTTGCAAAATCACTTATGAGGTCTAGGCTGACTTACTAAGGATGTTTCTGTATGTCAGTGTTAATTTTAATGATCACCTAAAACATTTTAGAGTTACTATGTAAATACCTGTTTATGGCACTGTAAAGTGATTTGAAGGAATTTGTTTGCTCACAACTAGTAGGACTACTCATATTATACTCTATGCTGACATATTGATAAAATCAGGGCAAATCAGTACTTTAATATGCTGTGTCTAGTTATCCCTAAAAGTCTTCCCCATTACTTAAATGCAGAGTGTTTTTAACCAGGTTTAAGTCTGTTGGTAGAAGAATCTTTCTGTTCTGTGAGAAAAAAAAATAAGCAAGAAGAAATGAGAACTTGTTAAATTGTTGGTTTCATTTGCTGCTTAACCTCCTTTGTGTGTCATTGTCTTTAATCTTTCTGTATAAATGACTATAAAGTACAACTAAAAAGCTACCATTTTGATGAATACCATATGATATCACTCATCCTGGTGCTTTATGAGTAGCTTAGAATAAAGATTCAGAAACCACAAATAAAAAGGCTTTCCCTTCTAGTGCAGGGAAGTGAGCATTCTGCCAGCATGGAGTCACCAGAGTGGTAAAACACAACATGGGTTCAGCATTCAGACATAATTAAGTTACCATACACGTGTTTGGAGGATTAGGAATCAAACCCAATGAGAAAAAAATCTTACATAGGAATTTATTAATGCATTCTGAGCTGAACGAGTTTGAGAGAGATGGCAGAGATGGCAAATCTGTTCCCAATGCTCTCAAAATGTTGATCATACTAGGCACAACTTAGAGAACTTTTATATTTTGTAGACTCTGTGGTTTTGTTACTTTAATTAGTCTCACAGCCCAATATGTCATATGCCGACATCGACTTTTCTGTCACAGATAAAGAAAAAAAAAAAAAAAAAGAACAAACATCTTGTAATTAATTACAGCTGTGGGTAAATATGATGCATATATTGAACCAGACTAAACTGTGGTAATGAAAAACAGAATCAAAATTTAGTGAAATGAAGTCATGCTGTGTTAGACTTATCCAAAATGTGAAAATGTGTAACAATTTAGTGAGCTGTATTATAGGAATAGAGTTCAATGGACTTCAATAAAAATATGAATGTATTTGTCATTTGCAGTATCTATACCTTATACACATTGCATGATTAAAAAGTTTAAGGAATTAGAAAATGCAATATCAGGATGTTATGTCTTGTTAAAAAACCGAATGGCTGCTAGCAGGAATGGGTTTCTCTATTAGCGTGTTCTGTACTGGGAAGGACCCGCTTATGGTGGAAGGTTTTTCTTTGTAAAATGAAGAGTGCAGGAGGTGATTTTTTGATTATTGAGTTAAGTTTACAATGCATTCTCAACTCTGCCACCTGCTGAACTATTTCAAATAGTACCCCATATGGTGAACTTGCTGTCCTGATTCTGTGTGCCAGAACCAACAGTTTTGTAAGAGCAGATTAGTGCTTATTAGTGTGCTGCAGGTATCGAAAAAATAAAAAGAAAGAAAGAAAGAAAGAAAGAAAGAAAGAAAGAAAGAAAGAAAGAAAGAAAGAAAGAAAGAAAGAAAGAAAGAAAGAAAGAAAGAAAGAAAGAAAGAAAGAAAGAAAGAAAGAAAGAAAGAAAGAAAGAAAGAAATACATGGCTTTGGCCCCTGTGGTACAACCCTTCCGTGTGAGTGGTCCAGTTACGCTTACTGTCCAGCTACATTCCCAGGTACATGTGTCTCGAAACACTTTCTACTTAACCTCCATTTAGTGATACTGGAGAAAGTTTGGACCAAATGATCATATGATGGCTGTGTTAGACTCTGGAAAGGACATTTATAACATCTGATTTAGATAGAGGCGCACCTATGAATGTATTTAAAGGCAAACACCTGAAACAGTCTTCCTTTGAATGTCAAGATGGTAGAAGATATGAGTATATCCATTATCATGAGGGCTGTCACATATTATATGATAACATTTCAACTAGTACTTGGATGAACAACGACAATATGATCATTGAATTTGTCCTTTTTGTATTTGGATAGGTCATCACTACAGTAATAGCATGTAAGGCATAACAAAAGATCAAAGAACCTCAAAACTGTGTCAAATATAAATATGATGATAATGGTGAATGCATGGTGTGAAATGTTTAGTCTGTTATTATGGTTAATCAATAAACAGTAAGAGTAGTAATAGCAATACTGGTTATTTGCCTTGCCAGGCATAGTAGGCTGCCCAGGCAAAGTACCCGCTGTTGGATAATAAACTGAACTTTACGATCCTACTGCTAAAGAAACATTAGGAACCTTTCTTTAAGTTGTCACTCAGGACTGATAGACATGGTTGTACCTTTAAAGAATGTGATCAGCACCCAACTCTTCAAAGCTAAAGGGGGAATATGTGAATAAGATTGTATGACGACATGTTATCGCAGCCCATCCTTCTGATGTCACATTCCTGCAACACAGATATTTAAGTGGAAGTTATCTTTCTCTTCGTATGTGGCCCCTCTGGATGAAGAGACCTGTCTGGATGAAGAGACCTCGGACATCCCAGCTGGCCCTGTGGTGCAAAAGCTGTTGTCAACTTTGCTGGCAAAGTGACTGCATCCTGCTTTTCAGGGAAGCTTTGAGTTGAAACCCAATATCAATGGTTTATGATACCGTTCGTTGTCTTAAGGAGACTG